TGTGGCATTGGGATGTTTTTCACAAATGCAGCCCATTTAGGATAAATGTCATCTGATAGATAATAGTCCATGTTGTATTCATGTCGATTGACTGAATAATGGACCTCGGGAGTTCTCCCTTGCATAACATCGTTGAAGACATCTGACTGGTTCAACACATTGATATCATTGTTTGAACCCGCTACCCCAAAGAAAGCATGCCAAATCCATAAATCTTGTGAAGCAACTGCTTCAATCATAACCATGGGTTTACCATGATCACCTCGAACATATTACCCTTTCAATGCAACTGGGCAATTTTTCCATTCCCAATGCATACAATCAATACTCCCCAACATACCTAGAAAGCCACGTGTCTCCCCCATATGTAGCAAGCATTCAATTTCTTCAGTTGTTGGCTTTCGCAAATATTGTGACCCAAATAAACTAATCACACCCCTTGTAAACTTATCAACACATTTTAGTGTTGTGGTTTCACCGATTCTTAAATAGTCATCTACACTATCAGCTGATGTTCCATATGCCAACATATGAATAACAATAATGCATTTTTGTAGCGGCGAAAGACTTGATCTACCGGTTGCATCAATCTTCAACTGAAAATACTCATCATGTTGACCAAGAGCTTCAACGATACGAAGGAATACATGTGTATGCATTCGATACCTTCTACGAAATTGCTCATCCGTGTACACTGGAGTTTCTGAGAAATAATCATTGAACAACCGCTCATGTCCTTCTTCACGATTCCTCTCTATATTCCTTCTTTGGCGTCTAGGCCTACTTGAGCTCTCACATTCTTCTTGCGCATGACTTTCAACGTAGAGCTTCACAAGTTCTTCATCCATGCCATCATTCATAAAATCCATGAACATTTTTCCAAGATGGGAAGGATTAGAAAGATCCATGTGAAGTTAGGAAGTTGGGAATGATTTTTTAAAGGTATGAAGTTAGGAATGATTTTGAAGTTTGTTATGCATGTTATAATATTTATAGGGATATGAATAACGGCTAGTTTGACTAAAATTGAGTTTGAATAACGGCTATTTTGAATAACGGCTATTTTGACTAACATCTATTTTGAATAACGGCTAGTTTGAATAACGGCTATTTTGAATAACGACTAGTTTGACTAAAATTGAATTGGAATAATGGATATTTTGTATAATGACTAATTTGACTAGAAATAAACTAGTCTTCATAAACTAAATTTATATACAGATATTAAATCCAACATACATAATAATTAAATCCAACATAGATAAAAATGACTAGTCATCATAAACAAAATATAAATTCAATCCAATATACATAATAATTAAATCCAACCTACATAATAATATTAATTAACTCCATATCTACCTCTAATTACACCGCATAAAAATTTGTGATCTTGTAGTTTTCTTGGTGTCATATTTGATGTATCCTTCGAGAGTATTTTCAAATCATTAATCTTTGCCGCGTGCAACTCAACATCAACCCTTTTCCTCTCTATCTCCATTTTTTCACTCTCAATACGTGCATAATCACGTGCAAACCCCGACATTAATTCAATTTTTTGTTTAAGTCATCTTTCATAGCATCAAATTTAGGAGTAGGTTTTTCCACAAACTTTTCTTTTTGCTTCCTTTTGGTCGCCTTATTACCGATTAGACGATGTAACAAAGTCGGTGATGGTGGATTGTATTCGCTTATTGGTGTTGTTGGGTTAGAAGATGTTGAATATGCTCCAGAAGCCAAACTCTTTGTTCTTTTTGCAGAAGGTTTCGATGAACTTCCAAGCCATTTGGGTTCATCTCTCAATAATTTCCATGCACTCTGAAATGTGAACTTTTCATGTCCGTCTTGGTAATAAATATCACATGCCGCCGAAACAATGTCACTCTCAGAGCTACCGCTTTTCTTTACAGCGACAGCTTGTTTGTAGCACCCAACAAACTTTTGTACAGAAGGATTAATTTTTTTATGCCATCGACCTTTTAGTGCCAACGGATTCCTCTCTGGAAAATTCTTGTGGCAGTGGTTGTTATAAGCTTCACCAATCCTCTTCCAGAAACTATCTCCCTTTTGATCAACCCCAACAATTGGATCCCTTGAAATATTGAGCCATGATTGAATGAGAAGTTCATCCTCCTTTGGTTGAAATCTTATTTTCGACATATTCATAACCAATGTAGTTTTGATTTCTTCACCAAGGTTGATTGTTTCCAACCCTCTTGAGCTTGAGTGCAAAATTGTGGTGTTTCGGGCTCTTGATCATTTACTTCCACATGACTACTATCCATTTGAACTCCATGCAACATAGTGGAACTAGTTGATTGAGATAGAAAGTGTTGATAATAACATGGGTAATTTCCAAAGTGTGGATTATTTTGTTGATTTGGGATAAAAGTAGGATTTTGAAAATTTGAGTTATGATGTTGTCGCTACTCGAAAAATGCATCGCGCAACGACGGGGAGGCGAAAAGAAAAGGACAGAAGAGTCGCCACCGAACTTTATTTATCCCATGAGGGGAAAGGAAAATATCGAGAAAACCTTAAGAAACGAACGGATAAGATTGGTCTCGCAACCAAGAACGGGTTCGGGAGCCGGTTATGCGAAGGGAAGGTATTAGCACCCCTCGCATCCATCGTACTCGATGGGAACCTTTTGTTTGTCGATGTGTGAATTTATTTGCTTAAACATTATGCTATAAGAAGTGTTCCACAGGGTAAAAGAAGGGTTAGAAACAGGAAAGTTAGGAGGAAAGAGAGAACAGGGAAAAAGAGAAAGAACAGACTCGGTAGGACTTCGCAGTCCTATGCCTACGTATTCTCAATAGATGTGAGAAAGTCAGAGTCGACGTAGTTCGGGGAACTACAGATATGGGGGGAAGTGTGCTCGGCAAGGATTGTGGCCCTTGTGCCTACGTATCTTTACTTGAAAGAAGTAAAGAATTAGAGCAGCCGTAGTTCGGCCTACGGTGTGCGGGGAAATCTTGGTAGACGCTGCTATCGTGCACATTCTAGCAGTTAGGTGTATTGTTGCTCGCTCGTTGGAGACTTAGGCGTTACCTATTTGCGGTAGAACGGACTTAGCATGCCTTTCTGGGAAAGGGTGAAAAAGAAAAAGGGTGATCGCTAGGATATCGCAATCCTATGCCTACGTATTCCCATTATGCATGAGAAATTAGAGCAACGTAGTTCGTGCCTACGGTGCGGATAACCGGTGTGTTTTGTGGATGATGTTATCGTACGCGTTCTAGCAGTTTAGGTGTTTTGCTGCTCGCTCGTTTGGAGACTTATGCGTACCTGTTTGCGGTAGAACGGAAGTAACATATCCTTTGGGAGACTGGTTTTCGCCATGCGAGGCAAGGTGTCACATTTGATTGGTTGAGATGTTTTTTAGGGGCGAGATAGGTCCTCGGATAGTAACCCCTACGGGTAGTACCCAATTTGTTATCTCAAATTTTTGTTATGAAAAAGTGTAGCGAACGTAACGTCTTTGTATTGAAAGACGAGTATCGAGACCACCCCCACTACAGTGAGCATCCCAACACTCGGAGAGGAAGAAGACTACACTTAATCCTCTCTCTTTAATTCAATGCAAAGAGAACTTCGTTCTCTTATTAAATATGTTTTGGTTTTGAATGGTAAGTGCTTTTGTGACAGAGAACCCTACGGTAAACGTCAAGCACTCGGGATAGAGGAAGGCCTACGCCTAACCACTCCACGACCATTCAAGTTTTTGTTATGAAAAGAAGTTTGGAAGTGCACTCGGTACGGGACCGAGGTTTTAGGTGAAAAGGGTTACGGAATAAAGTTGTGGAAGGAAATGGTGGATAAAGGCGTGTCTTCGTATCGAAAGACGAGTGTCGAGACCACCCTCACTACAGTGGACATCCCATCACTCGGAGAAGAAGAGGTCTACACCCAATCTTCTCTCTTTAATTCGATACAAAGAGAAATCAATTTATTATGGTTTAAAATGGACTCGGTACGAGACCGAGGTTTTGGGAGAGATGGTATGGAAACGTCTTCGTATTGAAAGACGAGCGTCGAAACCACCCTCACTACAGTGGGTATCCCAACGCTCGAAGAAGAAGAGGTCTACACCCAATCCTCTCTTTTTAATTCAATACAAAGAATTGATTTTAAGGAGATGAGATTTGAAAATGGATGGGAAGTGTCTTCGTATTGAAAGACGAGTGTCGAAACCACCCTCACTACAGTGGGCATCCCAACACTTGGAGAGGAAGAAAGTCTACACTTAATCCCCTCTTTTTAATTCAATACAAAGATAATTGGATTTTGAAGATGGTTTGTCAATGCTTTTGAATCGAGTTGGGACAAGTGACGAAGAGAGAAAAGAGGTGGTCTCAGATCCAACATTACTTATCAATAATTTGACTGGTAATGAATTACGGAGGTCTCGTCATCGACCTAAAAAATAAAAATGAACAAAATATCCAATAAGAAATGAGAAATGAGATCAACCTAAAAATAAAAATATTCTAAAACTTAGGAGAAAATAATATACAAATTTCTAAATAAAAGCTATGTAATATTTACATAATAAAATGTTCTAAAAGAAAAATTACTAAAACTTATAAAGAAAAATAATAATATGTATAAAATCTAAAAAAGAAAAGATTATAAAACTATAATTTACAAAATATATATATTAATTATTTTACCAAAATATAATACAAATCGCTTTTTTTTTAAAACTAACTAAATATAATACATAAAAAAATATTAAAAAAGGAAAAGGGGTAGCAATAACAGCACAGTGACCGAAATAACCCCTTTTCTTCTCTGATCTTCAACAACATCTTTTAAAAGTCCCAAAAAAATTTCAGACGGTAATATCAAAGAAAAACGCTATCATTCCTTTCTTCCCAATAAAACAAGGTTATGAAAATGAAAAAAATAAATAAAACAAAATCGCCATCAGTTCCTCGCCGCGGATTTGTGATTGGAGTTCGCGGCTCTTTTGACTCTCGTCTAGAACGGCTTCAGGTTTGGGGTTTGGTAAGGGTGAAGAAAGGGTTAATGGAAGATATTGAATGTTGTTATTATTTGGGGGATGATGAAGGTCGTGTAGAAAAATGGAAGATGGGTTTCGATACGATGAAGGGTTGATGGGTCGTCGCGGAGGTTTCGACGGTTATGTTTTTTTCCGGAAAATGGAGAAGACGAAAGGGGTTTTGTTGCGAATGTCAAAATGGGTTGCGGATTTCATGAAGGAAATGGATGGGTTTGGCTTATGGGTTTGAAACTGGAGGGTTTTTTTTATGGTGGTTGAGGTTTGAAGAAAGTGAGTGGAGTTTCGAATAAATCTGGGTTTCAGAGAGGCGATGGAGTTCGAAGTTGTTTTGTTTAGAGTTGTAACAAATGGGATGAAGAAGATGGGTCTGAGTAAAAATGGCGAAGATGGTTGTATGAGGCTTTCTGTTGAGTTGGTTTGAAAAGAGCGATGGAAGCTTTACAGATGCGGCGGAGTTTATGGGAGGTGTTTGAAGTTTTACGGTTATGGAGAATGAAGAGAACGGTGAAAGTCATTGTTTTTTTTTGGGATTTGTTGAAGATGGGTAGTTGGGTGTTGAACGGGTTTTTTAGCGGTTTTGTTAAGAAGATGTAGTAGGTTCTTGGTTCTGTTGTTTATGATGATGAAGGTGAAGTTTGAGGAAGGAAATGGTGAAAGGGATACGATATTGAAATCTAGAGAATGGAGTTTACGATTTGGAACCTGTTATTGTTTAACAGGTTGAGTGAAATGAAGTGGAAATTTCATGGTGAAGGATTCTTGATGAAGAAGTGGAATGAGGAAGATGAAGCTAGGAGTTTGGAGTTGGTTCTAAAATGGTGGCAGCTGGTTCAAATTAGGGTTGGTCCTTTGGATTAGGGTTTGTCCTAGGGTTTGGAGGCTGAAGTTGTCTGTGGGGGAAGGTGAATAGTGGCCCTCTCCTATATAGAGCTGCCACGTGACAGCTGGAGGGGGTTAATGACTGATTATATTAATTAATGACAAACTAATGATGATTAAAGCAAATTAATTAAATCTAATGACTAATTCAAATAATATTATAAAATAACTAACTTAAATATGAATTAAACTAATTAACTCTAAATAAACTAAAATCCTAATTAATAAATAATCTGAATAAATCTACTAATAAATAAAACTAACAATAATAAAAGAAGATTAATACTAATTAACAATCTATTTCTACCAATATTAGAAAAATAATTAATATAAAAAACTTTCTATAAACTAATAATTAAAACCTATTTTAAACTCTGTTAAATTAATCTAAATGAATAAATAAAAGAAAATAATTCTATCCTAGTAATAATCTAATTAATAATAAATAAAAATCTAATAACTTTAAAAAACTCTAATTAAAAAAAATCTATTTCCTAAAAAAAACTTTAATTCTAGAAATTTATAAAATAAAAAGAAAACTCTAATAATCTAATTTCCAGTAAAACTAAATAAACTAAAAAAATAAAATCTAA